AAAATAATTTCTTAGAGAGTATGTTTAAGGCATGTTTAAAGGACTGATATTTATGAGTGTGTATAGTTTGATGCAGACCCCCAATTCCAGATCTAGTGGATTAAAATGTGTTTTCATAAGATGCTGGTGGAGGTATGAACTCTACTGAGTGATGCTCTAGTTCAGATATGACCTTACATTGTCATCAGAACGTTCTCTATTCCAGATTCCCTCTTTCCCCCACACAATGACATAGTGATAATAATGACACTGTTTCTGAGTACTGGTTTCTGTTTAAATTATTAGTGTTGTGAAAAAAATCTCACTTTAGTCAGAGCTTACACATTGTTTTAATGAAAGAGTCGAGACGAGCAGGGAAGTGTTAGAACACTCCCTCTCTCTGTTGTTTAGTTTTGGTTATATTTTTCTTCATCCTGGGTCGGGCCATTCAGCAGAAAAGGCTGGAATTGATGTTTTATTTGCATTTGGGCATTGGGTGGGGATTGAATAGAATTTTAAAGGTGGAAAATATTAATAAAGCTGAAGAGGGTCTTGATTTTGTATTGTCAAACAAAGATTTATCTTGAGATTTATTTATCCCTCCTTCCCATACTGAAAACGTGTACAGGCATGTATGCTTAAATGTAGGCAGTTTGGCCCCTAATGACCCTCTTGTTGCGAGGATATGCAATATTTTAACAGTTGTAGTTGTGATCATTCAAAACACAAATATTGGAACCGTGGAAGAGCCTGCAATCAGCCATATCAGTTTTAGTTATTGATACTTCTGTGATAATGATTCTCGCCAATTTCCTTTCTCACCCTGTCTCAAAACCATTGCTCCAAAAATGTGACATCCTTTCATAACATAGCAGCCACACATGATTTTAACCAGAAAACAGTCGACTCAGAAAGTAACCACTTGCTGAAGTCTGAGTCATCTCTCTCTTAAAGACGCGAACATGTCACAGATTAACACGATTCAGCCTTAAATTAAGTGTTATCAACACCGGTCTGAATAAAATGGTGGCACTATCAGAAAGCTGTAATGCATCTCATCTCATATCATTGCATGAGGCCCTGTCATTGCTGTAATGATACTATTCACATCATCACATTCTGACTATTCAAATGACTGATGAAACGTCTTGGAGTAGTTTCAGTGTAGACCTGAGTCAGGAATCAGTCCTGTCAGGAGGCTTGACTTCAGTGATGTGTGTACACACATTCGTGTTATTAGAAGACGCTGACCACGTGTTTGGCCCATTTATGTTCCTAAAATTCTTTTAATACTTGGATATCAATGAACTGTGGTGCAGCTGATGCCTCAGTTACTGAAAGTGACATACCAGCAACACAGAAAGTAAATTTGACTTCCTATAGCAGCGCTGCTCTATTTCACTCTTCTGCGTTAGTTCTGTTTCATATATGACTAAGTCAGTTTGCTTTTGCATATGTGTGAGTGCATGTGCCTGTATGCATTTGCCTTGAGTGTGAGGCTGACTAGTTACAGTAAGTTAAGACACAGCAGGGCCACTGCTGGTAAGTGATGTATATAGGTCACGTTTGAGGTTAGAGCATCAGTCTGTTGAGTTTACACTCGAGTGGTTCCCCACGTACAGACTGCAGCGCTGTGTGATGTGAAGTTTTCAATGCTCTACATGCTTTTAATAAAAGACACGTGATAGCAGAGGTAAGATAAAAACAAAGGAGACATGCATTATCAGTCAGTTATTTATTTATTAAATAAAAAATAAAAACAATAAATATATCAGCTTAGTAAAAGTTTTGACTGCAACAACTATGTGTGTAAGACACAATATGGTCCTAGACTGGTACTTGTCCCCAGGACAAAAACATAAACAGAAGTCTCAGAACAACAAAGACTTTAGTTCAGCAGAATCACAGAGGAAAATCTAAATCTGTCAACATGCATACCCACGAACAAATCATGGATGTAAATAAGTTCAAGAGTCGATAGGCAACTTTTTTTCCCCCCTGAGATGAATGAAGTCACATTTTGATCTCATCTTTAGGTGGAGGTTGCATGGTTTTGCCGCCGTCTAGAGGCCAGGTATTTCTCAATGTAGTTAAACAGCAGCTCCAGCTCGCCCATGGCTTTATATAGACCTTTATTCTCCATCTGTGGCCAAACACATGTGTCAGTCAAATAAAATNCACACTGTACATATTTTACAATCTTGACTCACCTGAGTGTAAGTAGAGTTTATGTTTTTGATGTCAAACTGTTTCTTGCATGAGAAGAAGTTTCTCTGTAAGAGGAACAATAAAAAAAGAGATGATGTTACAACAGGAGTTGGCAACAGTCTTTAGATGATCATGTCCTGAATTCACTCTAAACAACCTGGTGAATAAAGTGACTGTTGTAAATAAACAAGGGGCGTTAGTTGTGGATTAGTGTCTTTCAGTCCATCAGAGGAGTAAATCATTGCAGCATGAAACACTTGAAAAGCAGCCAGCCTTCCCATCTCTTCCTCTTTTTAAAGAAGTGGATCATGCACTGTTACGCACGCTGCTGCTGCGGTTTAGGATTCACTGTTAAAGGCAGAATTATGATTGTGAGCCATCTCCAAACTCCTCCCCTTTATGCCCCAGTCAGCTCTTTCTTCCTTGTCAAAATGTACTGGGGGATGTTTTAACAAATCTTGGATGAAGTTCAAAGCAGGAAGTGGTTTGACTGATTTGGCTTTGGTGAACAGGAGGTCAAGATTTTAAAGTGACAACTAATCACATGTTTTCCTGAAAGGCTAAGACAGCCGCAGCTCGGCTGGTAAGGCATGCAAACTTGTGTGCAAAAATTTTGAGCTTTTAAACTGTTTTATCAGGATTTTACAGGACCACCATTTTACTTTTTCAGTTTTTTGGACTTTATTATTTAATTTTCTGATTATCACCCAGTAATAAACTACAAAGAAGAGATTTTTCACAAGAACACTCTTCTTATTAACCTCCTTGGACTTAGTATTAGCCTCCTTGGACAAATGCGCCACTGACTTTGCGCACCGTGCCTTCAGTGCGCGCAATCTATGCGTAATTCAAACTTTTACCCCCTGCAGTAGGAGTAACACCTTCGTCGTGTACTCACACATTTGGTGACATCTTCCTTGAGCTCGTCGAAGATTTGCTGTATGGACTCCACGTGAGGCTTCAGGTCCTTGGTTTCCTCCGTCACTCCGGCCATGGCTGTGGGCAACACCGTGCTCAGGTAGAAGTCCAGGATGCTGTTCATGGCGTGGCACGCAAACGGGCTCTGAGGTAAACAACAGCCTGGTTACGTGATGCTGTCAAAGCGAGCAGGACGGTTTTTTTCAGCTTTGGGCATTCTAACTTACTTTGAAAGACTCCTCCACGCTCTGATCCAGCAGCGCCGTGTCTAGGTCATCGTTCGCTTCCTACAAACAGAAACCAAGATTGAGATGAGTGAACTGAGTCAGCAGCAGACGCCCAGAGGTGCAGAGCGCGCAGCATCACCTGCAGACTGAAAGGCCACGTGGCCGCAGGGAGATGATGCAGTGCACGAAGCTGCCCTGCAGAGTCAAATGCTGAGTCTTTACTTACGTAGAAGTCTCTGATGTGGGAATAGTCCTCTCTGAGCCTCCTGAGTCTGACAGGGAAGCCCTCTACGAAACGGCAGCAATGGTTATTACACATGGGACTGGTCCGGGCAGAGCTGAGGAGAGACAGGAGAGCCAAGGCGCACAGGAGGAGAGACCGAAGAGTCATGCTGCGGCTGCGGCTGCTGCAAAAATTAAAAGATCTGGCTGGAGAGAAGAGAGTGGGCCCTCAGGAGTGCAGATGGTGCTGGCTGGAGGGAGGTGAGGTCTTCTGAGGAGAGGTCTTCTTGGGTTGATGCAGCTCCGAGGAGGTAAGTGCATCCTGGTGTGTTCTGGTGTCTTTATTTATAAGACAAGATACCTGGGAGGAGACTGACAGGAAGAGAAAGAGAACGGTTAAACATTCTTCGGTTGTGTGTGTGTGTGTGTGTGTG